CTGCTGAGCTGTAACTTGCCCGTACTACTGACAACTTGCCGATGAGTTAACAAACTTCCATTCGAACACATTTGAAAATTTGAGTACATTTTATTTCGGAAATCATGTACATCACATAAAAAGAAAGATTAGGAAATCAAATTTTGGTGTTACACAAGTTTATAATCGTCTAGTTAAAAAGTTCACTTTTTTTAAAATAAATTCCAAAGAATAGAATTGTCTGGTAAATAATATAATAACATCTATATTGTTTTTGATTTTCTTTATAACAAACAGCCTATTCGCCAGATTCTGCCACTTAAATTGAATTCAGTCATTTCATTTTGCTATATTATCTTCTAAGTGAATACAATACAAGGACCATTTTCTACCGAAAGACTTAACTTATATAAGAAATCGACACTCTATAAAAGGACCTAATTAAGAAATCGATATCATAAAACATGACAATATCTTCCAAAGGGAAATGAATTCGTATCACAGAAAACAAAAATTTTATCCTAGGATATAATACAAATTTCGTGGACACAGTATGTAGGCATAATTTATAACTACTATACGTTTGTTTTGAAATTTTTTCGATAAATATATTTTAGTACAATTTATTTGATGTTTCAAATTGCATTCAATACGGCGTCATAAATTATTTAAATATCGTAATAAAAATGTAGTACTTATACATATATATTATATACAAGTATAAATTTCAAAAACTGTTGTGTATAAATATATATTTTCAATTTACGCACATTTTATAATACATACATAATATTTATATAATAAATATGTGTATTTTATTTAGAACGTAAATACAAGAAAATTATATTTAAACTGAAATTCGAGACGAATTAAAATTTTTCCATACATAAATACGCCCATATGTAAGCATTATGTATACATATTGCAATAACATTATAATATTTGAATACACAGAAATGTTTATATAAATACGATAAGAATAATAGCTAATAATGCATGTACATATTACTACGATATAATCATAAATGTATATATGTATGTATACATATTATATGAATCATCATATATAGCATAATAAAATAAATAAATTACTGATTATATTATTATTATTTCATTTTAATATTTGATTCAAAATATAAATTCTTTAAAATTAAAATATTATTAAAATTTTGATGAATAAATGTATAAAATAATTTATTTAAATTAAAAATTATTGAACTGTTAATACGGTTATTGATTAGTTTTTATATATACATATACATATACTAATAATAATTACTTCAATATATTACGGTATTAAATATAAATTTATTATAATATATTTATATTTTCATTTAAATGATTCCAAAATTAATTTTTAACATTACTTGTATGGTAATTATTCTTGACATTACAAAAAATCTTGAATATCTTTCAAGATAAGTTAGCCGTGTAAATATTATATCATACTATAGAAAATAACTGTGACAGACAGATAAAGAGTTATTCCATGTAAATAATACAAGCTCCATTTAGAATAAATAATAAAAAATGTTTAAAAAAAAACACTCAACATAATATTATAAAATTCTTTAATTAGAGAAACGTTTACAATGAGGGTCACCGAAGAGATACAATTCGTAAACTTTTTATTTCTAGTATCAAAAAGAAATAAGGAATTTTCAAATGAAATCATTGAAAAAACCAAGTTCCTTTGTAGCAGTAACAAGTTTGGTTGAAAAAGACAGACACATATTGTATATCCAAAAAAAATAATAATCAATTTCTTTTTTTAGCACTTTCCCAAAAAATTTGCTTATTAGTTTCACTACGTCCGTCTGTGGACATGTTTACGAAGCTTTTACACCCTTTAAGATGGAAAGCTTAATAATATTATCGCAGAATTATTCCCTCATTCCAGATCCTTTTCTTAAGATACATTTCCAACGAATTAATAAATTTTTATTCACTAATTTGTTACATGTTTATATAACATAAGTTATGCAGTTCATTTATATAAGTGATGATAAAACAATTGGATTAATTACTTAAATAATTATTGAAACAATTAAGGTTGATTCCAAGTTTTGAAAAAAGAAGCTTACACGAATAGTATTAGGAAATCCATAAATATAGGTAAAATTTCAGAGCAACAGAAATTTAAAATTTTTTATGAAATAATTTTTCGAAAGGAAAAGAAATTAAAAAATTATGCTTGATATACTTTTCTGAAGAGCACTATTGCAAAATAACTTCATATCTACTGAAAACGAAAAAATATAGCTAAATATTCTTTCTGATTATTAATTATACGTAGGTATTTTCACCGATAACTATACGTAGGTATATTTCGCTGGCAAAACTGTGATACCACGTAAGTGCAAATATTTCAAAAAGTACTTTACCAATTTTCTGTTTATTTTACCAATTTTTTGTATATTATACATTCATTTCGTACATATATATATATTAAATGTTACAATTAATAGTAATTATAGTTTTACCCGATTATTCAATTATCAGGAACGTATTTGATTGAATGTTGTTAAAAAAGAAAACAATTTTAATTTAATTTTTAAAAAATGATTGAAAATTTAAAATCAAATATTACACGTCTTGTATAACATAAACATTTTTGTATAACATAAAACATACTATTTACGAGTATATTATGTACACGAGTGTATTGAAATCAAACAGTGCCGTATTTTACAAATTATTTATAAATTCTTTTGTAATTTTGAACAGTAAAATAAACTTATAACAGTAGAATGCAAATAGAAAAAATAAAAAATAAAAATAATTTTCGGATTCCTCATTTTCAGTTAGTTAGGATAACGGTGGTGTGGTATAACGAGGAGTAGATAAAAAATTAACGAAATAAATTTAATTGTGAAAAATTAAAAATTGTTGAGCGCAATTACAATTTTGAACATATTCTTGCCCTTTAGCAATGTTAGGATTTCTCAAACTCACATAAAATTTTCAAATGGTTTTTATAATTGGTTTTAAGATTAAGTAATGCGCATTAATTTATATACAAAAATTTGATTTACACTGTTTCCATTTTGACGGTTTAGTTGAAGCGATTAAAATTGATGTTGAATAATATAACACTGTCTTATTTCGTCACATTACAGCAAATACAAGTGATAACATAAGATTGATGATCTCCTTGTAAAAAAAATGAAATTAATATCTCTTGCTTAATCTTTTTCATCACTTACTTTTACGCACAATATGTAAACAGCAGAGGGAACACCAGAGTCAATCAAATCAAAACATTTAAATTCCATTGAAAAGCACAATTCCGTTTAATGAATTAATAAAATTATTGATTGTTTATTTAATAATTGATTATTTTTGGTATAAGAATAAACCCATTGAATTTTCAAACTTAATATGCAAAGCGTGCATACCTTAACAACATTACAACAAAAATATCTTTGTAATTAAGGAACTGGTTTGGAAAAGAAATCATTCAACTTATATATAACGTACGTAATATGAGAATTTTATTTAAATATTTCAAATCTTTTCAATTAAAACTTAAATTAAATCCTATATGTTGAGAAATGCGATTTTGTTATAGGGATTAACAAGCATATATTGGAAAATCTTTTTAGTCAATGTTTAAATAACTTTTATTGTGGAGTTCCAAAATAATTTTTTAGATATTCTAAAACTTATTAGTAATTTCAGCTTTCAATATGAATTTTAATCGAAATACATTGAGAGTCGAAGGTATTATTTTCTTGCATTTTATTAGTCTTCGCAACTGAGCCAAAATATAACTTGAAAATAACTCATTTAAGGCCGTTATTAATCTATACATGCAAATTTAAAAATTCTATAGTGCAAATTTTTAATAAATAAAACAATAAAAATTGATTCTTTTAATAATATAATTAAATACAGTATTCACATTATTAACTTACAATAGAGATTTAATTTCAAAATTATTTTTTAATTTTTATTCTTTCTTCTTTCCATAGTAAAACTAAATTTAAACTTTTAAAATAATTTTTTTTTCTTCTAATTTAATTTATTTTGTATCTAAAATACTAATATAATTTTTAATGTAGATATTATTTGACTTTCATAAAAAATGATTTGCTTAGTACTATGTATATTTAAGGTTTTATTTTTATTAATTCATATTTACATTATTTACCTTTTTTCATTAATAAAAAAGGATATATGATTTTGCTGTAGAAAAAGTTCTTTATAATTTGAAGAGAAAATAATATGAAGATATTCAATAACATAAAAATTATTTTTAATTACTAAAAAAGTTTTAAATTGATTCATTTAAAATAAAAAAAAAAGCTTGAGTAATTTCCATATTGAAGAAAAAAAAATAATAGAAATTTTTTTTTTAATTATACATATTATGAAAAATTAATTAAAATTAAAAATTTTAAATAAAACATGCTAAGCTCAGGTAATTATTTAAATAAAAAATAATTTCGAAACTAAATTATCACTTTTATATTATAAATTTGATATTTTACTTTCTTTTGTTGCAATACTTATAACGAAAATTAAAGACGAATATGCATTGACCTACAAAGTTCGAAAAGCGTAAGTGAATAATGCACAATTCAATTAAAATTAACATAAGAAAAGTCAAAATTATTGATTTGAGAAAAGTAATTTAATGCTATTAAATTAAATTTCTTCGCATCTGCTTATTTACTATTATTGAGCAACAAATACTTTTCAAAATTCATATACACCTAAAATAAACGAAGAACAAATAAAATTCCATTGTATATTAATATTAAAACATATTTTTAAATTATAAATATATTATATAAATACATAAACTTTCATAAATTTAATTTTATAATTTAAATATCTTCAAAATTCAATTTATATATATATATATTTATATATATATATATATATATATATATATATATATATATTTATATATATATATACACAAATTGATGTAAATAATAATTAATAGATTGAAATCATAATTAATAAATTATTTTTCTTTAAAACCTAATGTACTGTCTTTAAGAATTTTTCAGGAACAGCAATATAATTATGTAAATAAAAATATAAACAAAGCTAATATTTTTACAGTTTTATTTTGTTTAATATAATTTTACTCTTATCCTACTTCGCAAAAATGTAAAGAAAGTAAATAAAATATAAGAAAATTGGTACATTTTGCAAAATGAAAATGATAAAAAAATAGAAACAATTTGTCATTCATTAAATTAATTGATATCGTCATTAATTCCTTTCTCTATATTTCTTTAGTTATAAGAAACATAGAAATTAAATAATTTTAAAATTAATTTCGAAATAAGATTTATTGAACTAAGTATGTATATGTAACTGTCGTCAGACTTCTAAAAACTTATTGCATTTTGGAAACTTCAAATTTGGTATTTAATATTTCTTCATCGGAATCTAAAACTGGTAAGGTTGGTTCTTGAATAGCAGATGGAATATTTTCTTCTACCCATCTAAGATCATCTTCTTCTGTTGTTGTAGTTTTTGGTGGTGGTGTTTTTGGTGTATTGACATTTGCTCCGCGCATTTTTACCCCATATGCATCCGAAACAAATTGTTCTTCTTCTAAAAGTAATTTAAAAGATCAATTAAATTCAAATTCATTGAAATCAATATGTTTTTATCTAACAAAATATACTAAGTGCATTTTGGTATATATTCTTCTCTATTAATTTAAAAGAATTTTAACGAATTTTCAAAAAATTGTTACAGAAGATTACACTTAAAATATTATTAAATAAATATTGCATATGAAATATAACATTACATTTAAAGGATAGAAATAGAATAAAATTATATGAAAAAAAATGAATAAAATGCAGTTCTACATATTACAGAGCAACACAATTTCAATTACACATTATCTAACTAAATCTAAGGTAAACATAAGATTAAAAAAATCTAGTTAACTAATTTGTTAAAATTCATATTAAATTACATATTCGAAAAATTTTGGATTTTTTAAGTTTAAAAAATTTTAAAAAAATTAATTATAATTAATAAATTATGGTTTTTTCTTGCAGAATATAAGTTTTCAAAAAACATTTCTAGAATAAGTTTTCGCGACTTAAAACTTAAGTTATTTTATGGCGTTACATAGTATTTATCCGGTAAGTTTCTATTACCTTCGTCTTCGTCTTCTGGGTTATCTAATAGTGGTGTAAAAGCATATCTTTGATTATTATTTGTTGGCCTCCACAATATCATAATCACTAATAGAAGAACTGAGAACAAAACATGCCAGAATGCTATATCAACCCAAATATCACGCCAATACTAAAAATAAAAATAATTAGTAAATTTAGAATATTTAAACTTATAATAATAATTATAATGCATAGGCTAAATAATGTTTAATTCATACCGGTGAACAATTTTCCAATTTATGAGCTTTTATTGAATACAACATAAAAACTACTGATGCTAGTACAGAAAATATTAATGTATTTGTGAAATGTCGATATAAAGAAAGTTTTACAGTATTCCTGAAATTATAATAGTCAACAATTTAACTACTATTTATTTTTGTAATGATTCTATTGAATATACCTTCTTAACCTAAGTGTTCTTGTTGTTTGAACTAAGGACGTGAATATCCACCAACAGATCCCTGAATCCAAAACAGCTAGCGGTATACTTGCAACAAGCAACTCATGCCTTTGATTATTTTTTGTCCTCATAACTCTCAAATAACTTTCCACGCATGCTAAAATGAAATACAACGCCCCTGTTCCCACAACACGATGTAACATTGGTCCCAACCTGGGTCTGGCGAGATAATCGAAAAATATCATCAGATCAGTCTCAGCAAAAATTTGAATCTTAATTACTTTTGTAATAGATTTCATAGGCAAAATATTTCCACTACTATTAAAAACTTACTTGACTATACCGAAACCTAATGACATTATGATTACTAGCATTCTAGCTAGTGTTCTTTTAGCACAAGACACAATTTCTGCAGCAAGCTCTGCTCCTTGTACTGATATCCCTGTAGAGTTTACACTTTGATATTCTGCGTAAAAGACTGCTTTTTCTAACATTCCGAGTAATATAACTCCACCAATCCAAAATTGTATTCTTAAAAGATCTCTCCATTGGGCGAAAGACACAATTAGCCATGTAATACCAAGAATCACATAAACCAAGCACATTATACCGTAAAATGGTAATAGAGGCCACTCTACTGCAGACAAATAACCATGCGGTCCACGAATTTCTATATGTACTGGTGTTTGAAATTCACCTCCTGACTCGATATATAACACAAAATCGTAAATTCCGTCATTCAAAACTGTATAAACAGGTTTATCAATTTTCTGTAAAAAATGTACAATTTAATTTGATAAAAAATTCCGAAAAATTATAAAGGTACATCGCCAATTTGTATTGTAGGCTTCTTTTTTTCATTTCCAGCACTAGGTTTTTCTTCTGGCAAAAGCGAATCTAAGATTATATGCTGTCCTTCTACACATTTTACTTTCATTTTGTTCGATGTTATTGTTTCATTCCCACTAAAAACGATTGACTGAGGCGCTTGGTATTCCATCTAAAACAACGATAATTGTATTTCAAAACTTTTAATTATAAAAGTTAAAACAATACATTTGATTCATCTTCCCAACATCTACGTTTAGACAAAGTCCAATATATTTCAAGAAAATCACTATTCTTTTCACAGGTAACTACAAATTTATTTAAGGTTATTAGTAAGATTTACAATGAATCATACAAAATTTTACTTACTTTGTACAAATATTTGTGAACCAGCAAATAAGGTCTTTTCAGCTTTAGCAGTATTTGCTTTCTAGAAAAAAAATAAGATATAATAAAACAATTGAATACATTTAAAGTGAATTTTTTTCAAGATATCTTTAAAAACACTGAGATAACAATTGGAAAACGTAAAATTCGTTTTATCTGTTTTTATTTTTCACTCTGAAGTTAGATAAAAGTTCTACTTTTCGGTTAAAGTAAATTAATAATTTTATATAATCTTACTTTACTTAAGACAGAATCAGTTTTTCCTTGTTCTGATTTTCCACAAATAAATGGTAAAAAAAATACTGATACCACAATTATCACATATTTAAGTTTCGGCATTTTCACACATCTATTGCAAACTTTTTTCACGATTTGTTTAGAAAGAAAACTGCCAAAGTGTCCTTTAAACTGACATTAATGAAGTCTAATAGTTCAAAAAATTTGTGTTGTCGTTGTTTATCTTATATTCTATTAGTCTACATTTAAGGCATATGGATATTTCGACTATAAGTTGTTTAACTTATACAACATTAGGTTTGTCTAGTACCCTAAAATTTCTTAAAATTTTATAAAACTTGGAAAAATTTTATAAAGTTTTAAAACATGATCGTGTATCGTTCTGTTTACTCGCGAAAAGAGAAGAAAATGTGTAACTATCATGTATTTGTACAATGTAATTTTCAAGGAAATAATGCAAAAATCTAATGAAAAAAATTAGTAATCTTATTAGAAAAATGAAATATTCATTAAAACAACAAAAAATTTTCAAAAAAGAATTTTGATTTGAAAATGAATAAAAAATGAGATGAAAAAGAGAGATAATCAATTGGGCTGTTAGTATGCGGTCTGTGATTTGGTAGCGTTTACACCTCAAACAAAATTTGACATTAAGTGCTTTCAAGTTTAGTAAAATAATATTAAAATATTTGAAAATCTTAAACTTGTCAAAATATATGTTCCTCTTAGTTATTACTGCAGGTTATTATATGCAGCTTGCAGCCGACTTCAAGGGGATTTTGATGGCATATAAACGCTAGTTGACTTGGCATTTTCAAGTTAAGTCAGATTATTAACTTGACTTGAATATTGACTACATAATGCATATACGTGGATTAAAAGTCTGAAAATGACAAGTTAATATATAATGCTTGTCAACTAATATCACACTTAAGTCGATTTCAAGTAACATTATTTCAATCTGTACAGCGTATACGCAGATTGAAATTTCAAGTTAAGTACTCGCTCCATCATATAAACGTCATATAAACATTAGAAGCTTTCATTTAAAAAAAAAAATTTTTAATCCACAACAAATCTTTTTTCAAGTCTTTTTAATTAAAAATAAAACAAAATAAACAAAATGAATTCACAAATTGTATTTTCTAAATTTCACATTTTTATAACACAAAATCAAAATTTTCAATTCAATTATAATAATTTTGCTCAAAATAAACAAATAGTGATAGGTCGTTTTGCATTTTAAATATATGCATATTATGTTGATTTGACGTCTTTCAAAGTGCCGCCACAAATTGCTTAATTTATCTGGCAATGCTTTAAATAAAACGTCGCGGTGTGTTTTCTTTTTTACAATCGTTTGGAATTTGTTTCTTGAATCATTTTTTAAAAATAATTTATGAAATTAACTAAAAGCTTTTTGAAATATGTCTACAATACCAGAAATAGATGAAGCTGAAGAAGATGCATTACTTCAAAGTGATGAAGACGAAGTGGGAACTGAGGAGGATATTCAGGAAGATATGGATGAAGATGACTTGAGCGACGACGAAGAAAAAGATCTCAGAGAATATTTGAAATTATTAGCAGAAATATCTAGTAATACCTTAAATTACGATACATACATAAAATTGACACAAACCGCACATAAACTTGGTGATTTGGAAAAAATTCGTGAATCGTATAATCTCTTTGCAAATGTCTTTCCTCTCGCTTCTGATATATGGTTGAAATTCATTTCTGTTGAACGTAATATAAGTACTTCAGAAAGTGAAATCAATAATGTGGTAAACCTTTTTAAAAAAGCATTGAATGATTATTTTTCTACCAGCGTCGCTCTGGATTATGCAAAATTTCTTTCAAAAGTTTCTGACGAAAAAAAAGTTCTTGAAATATGGTCGGAACTTCTGGGAACTTATTCATTAGATTGTTACTTTGGTAAAAATTTCTTTTCGTTATATAGAAAATATATTGAACAATCTTCTTTGAGTAATGAAGACAAGTTAATGAAAGTTGCACAAAGCTATATGAGAGAACTTCAAATTCCTTTATATGAAATGGAAAATAGTTACATTGATTTTAAAGTGCTTTATGAAAAAAACAAAGAGAAATTAGAAATAGTAGTTGATTGGGATAGAATAGATAAAAATTATAAAAGGGCGAAGGAAGATCTTCAGAAAATGTTACCGTATGAAGAACGTTTGAAAAATCTCGACCAAAAATTCTACCAAGAAAAAGCTGTCGCGTATTTAGATTATATAAAAATGGCCGATGAAGAATTAGAAGAAAACATCATTCAAGTTTTATACGAAAGAATGGTTACCGATTGCTGTTTAAATGAAAATTGCTGGCTTGAATATATTGATTTTATTTTAAAGCGGGACGAAGATGGAAAGCCTGAAGAGCTTGAAGATTTTCCAGTATTTCAACAAACAGCTCTTGATATAAATGTTAGAGCTCTTCGTAATTGTACTTGGAGTCCTAAATTGTATATAAAAAAATTGTATATTTTGGAAGAAATTCAACAACCTAAACAGGAAGTTCAAAAAGCATTTGAGAAAGCATTGGAAGCAGGTTTTGATTCACCTGAACCATATGTTTCGCTATGGCTTGAATATTTATCTTATATAAGGAGAAATACGGACTATGAAAGTGAAAGTGATATTGAAATATTAAGAAAAAATTTTGATCTTTCTTGGAGCGCTTTAGGTAAACAATGGGGGGTTTTAGCAGATTGTAATTGCGAAATCTTACAATTTTGGGGTAGATTGGAATATGGACCTTTTCGAAATCCTGAGAAAGGTAAAGAACTATGGGATACAGTTATGGCAAGTTCGGACAATTCCTCAAAATCAGCTTTATGGATTGAATATATTCACATGGAAATGCGAGTCAACCCAGAATCTGCAAGAAAATTGTTTAAGAAATCTCTCTCTTTTGATCTTGACAATCCTTACTCCATTGTCTCTGCTTGGATAAGATTCGAAAGATGTAATGGATCTCAAGTTAATCTTGATTATTGTCAAAAATATTGTGAAAATTTTTTGAAAGATCTCGATAGTAAATACAAAATGAAGAGTCACAAAGGAAAGCAAAATGTGTCTGAAAAAAAAGGTATAAAAAGGAAATCCTTTGCCATAAATGAGGCTCCAGTTAAAAAGGCCAAAACTGATGAAGAAATACCAAAAAAAGGAACTGAGTTGTTCTTAAAACCTTCAACGCCTAATCCAAGTTTTAAATCGAAAGACGTTAAAGAACACGAAGATGATGATATTGATTTCACAAAAGACCATTTAAGGATATTTTTAAGCAATTTAGATTACAATCTTACTGAAGAGCAGATAAAAAGTGGTTTACCCGAATTAAAAATCGTTAATATAGATTTAATAAAAGCTGCTAATGGTAGAAGCAGAGGATTTTGTTACCTAGAATTATCTTCAGAAGAAGAGGTAAAAAAAGCTTTATCTTTAGACAGAAAAATGCTTGAAGGTAGACCTATGTATATCTCCAGCGTACTAAGAGATAAAGAAAAACGACAGAAATTCAAATATTCAGGAGGAATAGAACCTAGAAAAGTATTTGTTAAAGGACTTCCATATGATATAACACAGGAAGAATTGCGAGAACTTTTTGAACCTTTTGGTAAAATAAGTGATATTCGAATTGTTTATCACAAAAGTGGAAAACCAAAAGGTATTGCTTATATTGAATATGAAAACGAAAATTCAGCTTCTTTAGCAACACTTAAATTAGATAATTATGAATTAAAAGAACATAAAATAAATGTTGCTATATCAGCTCCCCCACCTAAACAATCTGAAAAATCACAACCATTTAACATTAATAAAATGTTAGGAATTGGTAGCGCAAAATCATCTAATATCAAAAAGCCTAGAATGAGTTTTCTAATTCCAGCTTCTGTTCAAAGGAACATATCTGGCAAAAGTGCCAGCAACTCAACTAACTCAAATGGAAGCGCACCACTAAAAACCAACGAGGATTTCAGAAAATTTTTGAACAAATAGACACTAAGAATTTTATTTAAAGTTGGAAATAAATATAATTTTGACATAAATTACTAGTTCAAAGTTATTTCTCTGACTAACAAATCTTCAAACTAACAAATTAAAACCTACCTCCCTACTAAAATTAGAGAATCAAAAATAAAGTTGGGTCAAACCAATGGTTTGTATTGTAGCCATTTTCCCTTCAACAAGTGAAAATTCTGCTTTTAAATACAGTCTATGCATACCTACCACACTATTAAAATTCTTTTCATTCATATACGAAACTATTTCTAGGATTGCATATGACTTATGCAGTCTTTGAATAAAAGCAAAAATAAATTTAAGAAGGATTAACATAATGATCGATTTTAAGAGTTAATTGCGTGAGTTAAGAAATAATTATTTTTTTAATGTCATGGAATTTAGCGTTAGCTCTTTGCGTTTAGAAATTTGAAAAAGCTTGCGATTTCAGAAATATAAGGCCCGAAAAATTCAAATTTTACAAATTTCAAGGGGGGATAACTTGAGAGGAGGTGGAGATGGAAAAAAAACTTCCAACGAAATGAACTATTTGTTAGTGTTGCTGCTAAAATTTCAGGTTCCCAAAACTTGGGGTCTAGAACAAAAACGACATCAAAAAATTGGAAAAACGGTTTTAGATAACGGTAAATTTGAACGGAAATTTTGTTTTTTTAAAGTTTAGCTATAGTATGCCTTGGAGTCAGTGGAGAAGCAAGCCACTGCCTTTATTTGTTTGTAAAATTTGAAAAACGCTTATGGTTTGCGTTTAAACACTGCAACAAATAGTTAAAAAATGGCGTTTTTAGGGTTGTGGGAGGGTATAACTTGTAGAAGGAGAGAGGTAAACCAAAAAGAACTTTTTTTCAAATTTTTTTAGGGAAAAGTGCTAAACAATAAAACTTAACACAAATACGTAATTATGAATGTACATACATCCATTTAAATCAATTTTCAAAAAAGTAAGTAGGTTGATGTACTATATATGTATGTATGTCCACGCGTATGGCTATATGTATGCACATATCTATGGTTTCAAACAATGACTGCTTAAGTCTGAAATTGGCATTTCGAATAAAAGCGATTCAAAAGTTTAATCAAATTGGAAAAAAAAATTGAAGAAATAATAAAAAACTAATTATGCTAGTTTAGTAATAATATGAAGAAAATCTAATTTTTAATATAAAAGCAAGTAGGCTCAATATAATTTAAACGAAATAAATATTCAAAATTTTTTGTGATATTACTTTGGTCATATTTCTCATGTCATAATTTGAAAAAAATATGTATATTTTTTGTTGGTTATACTATTTGTAGTGTATAGTCCACATTTCAATTTGATTTGAAGTTTATAAACATAAATTTTAGCGTAAAATTTTTCCTACTAAGAAATTTAGGATTTTGAAACACAATACATATTAAAATATAAAATATAATACGGAAAACAAACATTTATATTAAAATCGTAATTATAATAATGTTAACTTAATGAATTAATGCCGTTTCGGAATGCTGACTTGTTATAGCAGTAGCAGTTGAGTGAATGAACACTGAATAGAAGAAAACGTGAACAAGCTTAATGTTTATGACTATAAATGTCAATCATATTAATTATCAAATGAAAATAATTTAAATGACAGTGGTGAATTCAAACGAAATAAATAAATAATAGTAATGAATATATAAATATTCACCAAAACTTCAAACAAAAATCATAATGCTTTATTATTATTGCTGAAATTAAATGTCTAGTAAAAATTTTGACATAACAAAAATATCTCATGGTACATATGATGTACTTCTGTGCTGTCAAGTGTTACTTATCAGCTGCGGTAAAAATAAAAATATTTACATATAATTTAGTTTTCTCTTTATTTTTTTTTAATTCTCATATCGATAAGCAAATTTTATTGTAACAAAATATGTTTAAGAAGGTAAAAATTTCACAATATTTGAGTTTTAAGTTAAAAATTATGTTTTCCAACATTTTCTAAGGTTATCGATTTATCTTTTAAAGTGAGGCAAGTACTTTTTCGCTCCGTTTCCACAACAAGAAAAAATTTCAAAATATATGAGCCAGATTATTTAGATGTGAATTATTTCTCATTTCGTCATAGAATTTAAATATTTATATATCTGCATTTTCAGTCTTTGAAATCCAAATATCCGCAGTACGAATGTTTAAACTTTCAAGTAAAAGGATATGATTACCCAATCCTTGAAAGTTATCAAAAATTTTTACATAATGTGGCAGAATATTTAGAAATGGATGTTTCAGAAAGGTAATAGAATTGCAGTTTGCATGCTGAATATTAAAATTATATCGTGCCTATTTCTAGCTATGCTTCACCACCACAGAAATCTTTGGTACAAAGATTTAAACCATCATCATCTGTTGTTGAGGCAGAATACAGTTTAACAACGTATGAACGAAATATTCAAATATCCGATATGGATGCTCCAACCTATCCTTTATTTTTACGAATAGCTCAAGCTGCTCTACCTGAAGGCGTAACGTTAAATGTGTTTGAATATGATGAGGAATTCGAAGAGAAGCGTTATGTTCCTGATAGAGATTTACTAGAATTAAAGGCTCAACTAGAAAATTTGCAAGGTACACGAGATTCTACAAAAAAAAAATAATGTGTAGAAATTTTTAATAAGGTAGTTAAAAAAAATAATTGTTAAAAAGCTTAATAGAATAAGATAGATAGAAACCTACATATTCTATGTATAACAAGTTTAAATTTTCAAACAATATGTACAACTTACATGTACATATGTATATATTTCAGACTTTTCTACACGTGGTTTTTATTTTTTGAAGTTAATCTTTGAAAAACTAATTAATTTAGATAAAATAAATAAAAAACTGTGTTTTAATATTGGTATAAATAATATTGTAATAAGCTTCTAACAATGGTAATTTTTAATGTAAAATAAAATTAAATAAATTTGTACAAAAGAATCATATAATAAATAATCAAATAAATTATTCTAAACTATACCAAAATGAACCACTTTAATAGTGGACCCATTATTGTTATTATTATTGTCATTAACACTATTAGGATTATCATTATTGTTATCGCTACTATTGTAATTTAAGATATTTGAGTTGGCGCTGATATTCGTGCTGGCATCTGTATTATTATTAGCAATTCTATTAATTAAAATATGGTTCTCGTTAAAGCTAGAATGAAGATCCCCACTTTCAGTCAAATTGTTGCGATCTGTTTGAGTAACACTTTCATTAGCTAAAATATTGAATTCAATGAAATAGTACAATATTATTTTAACAAAATGTTACCTAAAACAGGATTAAAGTCTTTCAAATATTCCTCCCTAGGGTTACATAACGGTAAGCTTTCAGCTAACTCTTTTTCTGGATCCATGACATATGAATTGCCTTTAGAACTAGGAGAACTAAATATAAAACCATTACGTTTCATTGGTATAGGCTTTTCTTTGCGCGGCAGATCCTAAAACAAAATTTTTCTTAAAGATGTTCAAATTTTTAAAAATAATCTTACGGGAACTACAGCTACTTGAACGGTATCTGAGAATTTTACTTTATTTTTTTCGATGAAAGGATCCCTTTTGATATCTACTCTGCTATTATTAGTAATTAAAGCATGACTTAATCCAACCGAACTACTTGTGGAATTAGCTGAAAGAATTGACGATGCTTTCTTATTTTTTTGGGTTAACTCATTGCTGTTGTTAACAATTGACTGGTTTATTGCACTTGGAAATTCTAATGGTGTAGATGAAGGAATATGGCCCAAAACTAATGGATACTGATAATACTTTTGTGTGTAAGAGCATGAGTCAACGCCTACACTTGATTCATTAAATAAACTTGGTATTCCGATTGATTTATTTAAGGTAAATTTCGATGGTGAAGTTGAAAGTGTTTGTTGAGTTTCACTGACGTTGTTAATATTAAGATCACAAATTGAGAGACGATCTGGTGACATTGACTTCCGATGATGAAATAATTTTTCAACTACGTTATTGTTGCAGTTGTTATTACTATGAGTAGTAGATGCTCTTGGAATGAAATGATGAGTTGCATTTATTGCTGATGACTGAAAATTTAGTGGTGGTGGCATTTTTGGCAAAGAAAGTGGAATTCCGATAGTTTGTTCAGGTAAACGATACTTTGTTGAGGAATTTATATACAAATCGGACGCCTTTTTGCGATTCTTGTTCGGAACTAGGTCTTGCAACTGATAATTACTACTTTTTAAACTTCTATTTGTAGCAATCGACATTGAAGAAGAAACATCTACTTCATCTTTAGAATTCGATTTACTATAACACTTGGAGGGTGATTCTTTTGGTTTTTTTAACAATCTAAAACATCCGTTTGAAACATTTGGGCTATCAGGAATTTCTACTTGTTTCGGTTTATTAATTTTTACACTTGCGGCTTTATTAACAGTGGATTTATATGATTTTAATGGAGGCACATAACTTTTAACATTTTGTATTACGAAATCCATTTCATTCAAATTTTTGTGATATCTTTTAACTTTTAATTGCTGTTGTATATGATTATGACCAAATAAAGTATCTTTACACGTATTTTCAAATGAATTGTGTTCAGTGTACTTATGTGCATCAGTAATTTCCCTCCCAGAACTCAAACTTCTTCGACGGTAAGGATCCTTTGGTGCCGATGAGAATATTAAACTGTCTAAATATTCTGCACATGATGGAATGGAACTAGTTGTTGTTGTATCGTCATCATCACTATTATGTTTTTCGGAATCCTCACTTGTCTTCGAGCTTTTTGAATCTTTTTCTGTTTGATTTACTATTTGTTCAGCTTGGTGATATGCTTCATGTGTTATACTTATTAAATTTGGATCAGATTTGGTGCAATTGAAAAGATCCATAAACAAATCATAGTCCAATACTACACGGGCAATTTCCAAACTTTCATTAAAGAGTTTATTTCTAAAAGCAATATAAAAATAAGTTTAAAAAATAAAAATTATTAAAAATAAATTACCGTAAAAGAAAAAAGAAAAATCGACGCCTCAAATCAATTACTTGATCCCCATATTCATCTTTCACATCATTACTTAATTGATCCGTAAAACTGCGCAGTGCTTTTTTCAACATATCATTTCGACTACGTTTAACATCCTCACGCGTTACAACAAAGTTACAAATTTTATTTAAAGCAAGCATACACATAGCACTGTTCGACTCCCAATTAGAACATAAAAGTAAATTGACTGCTCTATCCAATTGATTATAAATTAAATATTTGCTTATTAAAGCATCAGCTGACAATCCGCTGTCTGATTTAAAAGTATTACCATAAAATCTTAAACAAGCAATTGGCCCATATTCAAAAATTAATAATAAAAAGAAATCTGATTGACCTGAATAATTAATATTATTAATTTTGCGATCAACTTTGAAACTAAAACTTGCACTAATTAATTTAGGTTTTTCCATAAAATAAACGGATATATCTAATATATTTGACGATATTATGTCTTCACTCATTAATTGAGTCGAAATTGGATTTAATGCATAATCAAAAAGTTGCAATTTTGCTTCATCATTTCCAATTAATATAACCGTTGAATCTGAATGCCATGAACTATGTTTGGGAGCCTAAAATAATATTATATTTTATTATTTACATTAATGCGAAGAAGAGGTACAAAGAGGTTTATTTATATTTACAATTTCAGTTTTTGGTAAAAATTTTGTTTTTTGTCTTGTTATATCATATATGCATACACAATGATCAACAGTACCCAAAAATAAACGTTCTTGATCAGGGCTGAATCGATGACTTGAAATTTGCGAGCCAATTGGTATAGCATGTGATGATGTTTTTTGTAAACGACCTTTTACAATTCCATAAATGCAAATATCTGCACTTATTTCACCTTTACGAGAAATTTTCTGTTCAACTGTTATGATTTTATTTTCATCCGTTCTTAAAAATTGCGTACACAATGGTTCATTTTCTGTCCAACAAAATCCAATTGCTTCAAGTCTATCTCTGAAAATATGAAGATATTAAGATGTATTATGTATATAATATATTTATATAAGTTAGTTTTAGGTACAACGTACAAAAATTAAGATTTAAATGTAGGATATTTTGCAATATTTTAATAATAAAATATTTTAATAATAATAAAAGTTTTAAAGTAAGTTTGTGTTGAATTATATTTTCCATATACCAAATAAATCAGTTAAAATTATTTGAAATGTGACAAATATTTATAAGGCTTCTTTTATTATTGAATTGAAAAAGCATCAATATTCACTAATTCATGTCAATATTAAAATTATCTTCCACATTATTATCTTGAACATAACAATTAAAATTAAAGTTTCCATCTTAAGTCTTTTATTTTCAAATATTTTCTTAAAATGTTAGTGATCGTACAAAAACTTACTCTCTCAATTTAAAAACATGCATATTTGCTCTATCTTGATCTTGATATGTAGGTTTCCATGGAAATAATTCATTTTGTGATGATTTTGTCCAAACAATAATTAAGTCAAAGCTTCTATTAACAACCAAATTCCTTGACAATTTCTTATCGGGAGATCCAGGTATTAGAACATGATAAATTTTTGGATCCATATTTGATATTTTTTCTGGACTTGAACGTTTCATTGTTGGTTTTTGTAAATGTACGACAGTAACTTGGTTTGTATTATATGCCAATAAAATATTTTGCCTTGAAAAAATTGCTACAAATAAAATTCAAATAGTATATTAAAAAATCAAATCCCTATTTTCAACAAAAGAAAAATATATCGAATATTTATTACATATATATGAATGCATGTATGTAAATAAAAATAATTATATTCGAATGTTACATAGATGCACATATATCTGTTTACATTTTTTGTTAATATCTAATTTACCGTCAGTGATTTCATCTGATGCCAATTTCCCTATAAAAAATTTATCAAATGCAATACGTAGAATATCTCCCGTCAAATTATTTACACAAATATGTATAATCATACCATTATCTAATAACATTTGTACGACACAACCATTTTTCCACTCTGTTTTAATTACTCTATGATTTTTAATTAATTCTTCAAATTTCTTAATATTATCTTTCAGTCTTATTGTTTTATCATTAGTTAATATAACAATACCATCACGTTGTTCTATATATTCTTTTTTCCCCAATGCAATTAAATCTTTTCCATCAAAGTCCCGTTTTATATTAGTATAATATCTAGTTGCACCCAAATCAAAATCTTTGATGCGAATTTTATCATCCCGACACGTCCAAAAATGGCATTCACTTAATAATGTTAACATATTTTATAATCTTAAATTTAATACAAAAACTTTTGGGAAAATTACAAATTTATTTTTAATTACTAAAAACCTATACTATTTATAAGTTACAAAAAAACAATATACATTATGTATGTATGTATAACGCCAAGTATAATTAATTTTCTACATCCGATTGATGTACACACATATATACATAGATATACGTATATCTGGTGGATTCTTCTAAATTTTATCCCTTAATTTTTATTTTATAATTAATAATTTATAATGGACAATATTCATTTTGTACATTAAAATAAATTGCACAAAACACTTATAGGAAACAAAAACATTGAAAATAAAAAATAAAAAAAAATAATTAATTATGATATTTAATCGAAAACATTCGTGATTGTACTATGACACGATATCACAATAATAACAAAATTATTTAGAGTAAAAAAAAAATAAAAAAATATGACATGCATAGTAAAATTAATAACATCAAAAGTCAGGTGAAAAATACCTTTGATAGTTTGTATATTACTCACAACTTTTTAAAGCGCATGGTTCATGCATAAGATAAAAAAAAAATTTTGTTATTGGAGTTAAATTTGGAGTGGAATAAAAATGAGTTAGTTTCAGTGTTGTTAATTTCAACTTATTTTTCAGTAGTATTTTGCCTCAAAAAAAGTAGTATGGAGAGCTTTAGCGTAGTAATTTGCGGTTATTATTATCACCAAATAAAAAGTAAGGCATCTGACTAAATGGACGCGTAGCAGGAAGCACTTGTGCAAAAATTGTTTTATACCTGTACATTTTAAATCAGGTTACCTAAATCAGCTACGCGCCTAAGCAACGTATTGATATTTTCGACTTTGGCAACGGTAATTAAATTTTTTTTCGGTTTTTTTTTTTTCCGATTGTCAAATTGAACTGTTTGCTGTCGATTTACATAATATTATGCAAAGCGCGAGCTCAAAAATTAACAATATAAACTTTTTTTGGAAAATAATTTTGAAATAAATGCATATAAATTAATAATAAAATATTGTTAAAAAATAAAAAACTAATTTTTTTTTGTTGTTTAAATGGTTTTTGTAAAAAATACGAATGAACTTTTCATAAACAAAAACAAATAATCACATTTTCTAGTATAAAGGCAAAGAAGTAGTAAAAATGGCTTTGCAGTAGAACAGTAGTATGGAATGCCAAAATGTAGTAAAATACCGCAATTGTAGTAAAATTAACAACAATGGTTAATTTACAAGAAGAATGGAAATAATATTAATACAATACCTTGTAATCAGAGTTGCCAAATAACAATTGAAAAGCTACTTGAAAAAAAATCAAAGTTAACCGATCAAATTTGAGTGGATATGTTAATCAACATGTTTTCAAATTTTTGACGGTCCAATTCAGCATAAGTTAAAATATTTTTAATTACAATATGATAAAAAATTTTCAATAAACATTTTTTTTAAATGAAATTTTGAATTTTGAAAGTTGAAAAGATTTTAAATATTATCTGATAACTCTGAAATTTATAATGTTTGAACGCAAACTAATAAAAACTAAAAGTTCCCGTGTTTTTGCGCGATAGCATCAAAAATAAATAAAGTATTTAAATATCCCACTCTTGATATGGCAACCTAAGGGTTTGGCATTATAATATATTATACACATTTTGTTTTTTCTACTCATATATCATATTAAGGAATATGAAAACACTAGATTAGCTTATTTTTATATACCCCAGGTGCAATAAAAATTGTAATTTTTATAATTTCATTTTCCTATTAAATTTTCTATTAATTTTTATTAATATCAAATAAATGGGTAATATTTGAGGAATATAAAAAAGTAATTTTATTTATTAATATACTTGATATTATTATTAAAGTATGTTTGGGTATTTTTGATAAAGTAGTTCTTAAGGTAGACTGCAAGTCTTTAAATGTAGAGCTTTTAAAGACTTCCAGTTTTAGCATTAAGAACATCGTTTTCAAAAACACTCTATATGTAAAATTGCATAAAACTAACACAAAAATATAAATGCATATAATATTAAGGGGATTAGAAATATTATTATATTTTGTGACGTTACAGCCTTTAATGAGACAAGAAACTTTTATTCTACCATTTATTTGGCCAAAATGTCCTTAAATGACGGTAAATAAATTTATTATTTTTTGAAAGCCTATATGTTATCCCAAATGTTATAGATATACTAATAAAGTTATCAAGATCAACCAAAGATCAAATTAAAGGCTGCAATGTCATCTTTCATGCTTCTGTAAGACATAACAATTATCGCTGTTAGACATTTTCTTACCTTACGGTAGCAAGACCTTTTTTGATTTAAAATGTAATCGGCTTTTTAAATAAAATACATTTAATTTTCTTTTTTTTTCTATGAATTAATTATAACAATATTATTTTTTTATTTTTTTATTTTTTTATTTTTTTACTTTTTTTTATTTAATATGTTTTTTCACACAGAATATGTATAGCTATTAAAGACATTTTTATTATTGTGGATTTTTTTACATATATGTATGTATGTTTTATGTATAATATTATGATATAAATAAATTTTTACAATAATTGAAAATTAATAAAATTAATGATTTTATTAATTATACAAAAAAAAATATTTATTGTATGTAAGTATAATGTAATTTATATTTTAAATTAATTAAACATTATTAAAAATTAGTTTTAAATTACTCTTTTTTCTATAAATTTATAATTAATATTGAATTTAATTTTTTTACAGTGTGAATTTAAACTACAAATACAGATGAAAATTACATTTTTTGTTTTATTATAATAATTATTTATAATTGATTTTGTATAAGCAAAATAAGTTGCATTTGAAAAAAAAAAATAAAAAAATAATTTAATTTTATACATCGGGCGCGTGTACTTAAATTCTAAATATCAGTCTTTTTGTGTGTGTTTTTTTTTTTTTACTTTTCAATTCCTTTTTTTAAAAGTGAAAAATAAAAAAAAAAAAACTAAAAATTAAAACTATTTTTGAAATATTTTTGTTTTATATTACATAATAAAATTTATTAAAATAGCTGAAACTGGTTAAAAGAAATTTCAAATTTAATAAAGTAGTTTTGAATCAAATTGTTAATAATTTAAATGACAAACCCAAGTGACATTAATAGAGAGAATTAAATATGGTGAATTCAAGGCATAATAATTGTTTTGTATAAATTTTCATTCTATTCAGCTTCAACTGTATTATTATTTGACATTGAATTATGACGTTTGAATTGTAAAATAATTTTTTAAGGTGCATTTAAATTAAGAAAAAGTGTTAATAATATTATTATTATTATTTTTAAATTTTTGGTAATAAAAGCGTTGTAGAATAATATTTGACTAATAGAAATAATAACTTTATATCTAAAAGAAATTTTATTTTTAATTTTGTTTAAAATACTTAACAATTACACAAAATTTACTTACAAATTATTTAGTATTTTCTATATCAAATTTTAGTATTTTCATCCTTACTTAGCGCACTTCTATTTAATATAGTATATAAATTTCAATTTAACTTTTCATTTGATTTAAATCAAAATTTAGCAATCGTATAATATTAATAATTAATAGACAAATTAAAATTTTGAACAGTTTCAATGTTCTTTAGAACAAACAATTTTTTTTTTTTGCATTAATTAATAGCGACACTTTATATTTAGTTTTCCAATTTAGTTTAATATTTTTATAAATACTTTAAATATTTAAAAAAGTTTACTGAAACGTCATATACATATGTAAATAATAAAATTTATTTTCTATACAAAAGCTTACAATTTTTCTTTTATGTAACAAGATTTTAGAATTCTTAGTATATAATTTTAAGTGAATGTTTAAGTGATAAATCTTCAAACATGATAACTTGATGAATTATACAAAATGAATTAGAAAAGAAACTTTTGCTAAATATTCTAAATGTACTATTAATACCTAAATATGTAGGACGTCCAAGCTAAGATTATTTTGCGAAGTATTTCGGAGTATCAAAATTTACAAAAAGAATGCTTAATGTTTTTTATATTCCGAAGTATTCCGATTCTTTTTTTTCTTGAAATTTAAACGTTAAAAACTCTGCAATAATATGCAAACTAAAATTGTTAGCAAATTCTTCTTAAATAAACAATTTCCAAAATTATTTGCGATTTTTATACAAATTTGGACATTATTTTTAAACTCGGAGCTCGATGGCCTGGTAAATATAGCTCTATGGTATTAATACAATAATATTTTGATTGGCCGTCACTAGCATTTAATTAATGTTTTTTTTTTTTTAAATATGGCTATCTTATCTTCATAGATAATGTTTAGTTAAATAGAAATTTTATAATGCCTTCGTATAATTGTGGCCATTATTTTGCGTTCAGTCTTCAATAATATAATTTATTTATTTTTTAACTACAGAAAATTAATTGTAATTCATATAATAATAATTAAAATAGTATTACAGTTAATGTAAATTCAATCAAAAATTACCATATTTTAATTAATTCTTTGTGTAAATAGTTTCAATTGATTTTTAAGAACAATCACGTACATATGTGTGATTTTCGAGACAATTTAAAATTTCAAATGTTGTTGTCTTCTAATTAAAAATTTCATTTTATTAAAATTTGTTATTAATATTTTAATTTTTAGCATTTTTAACTTTTATACAAACATTCATTCAAAATTTTTAATTATTTTAATTGTATGTATGTAGTCTGATTTATTAATTTTTTTATAGTAGCCTATATTAAATTGAGTTGTTCACATTCTGATCTAACTCTCTATTCATGTTCAAAATCTACTTAATTAAAAGAAAAATAAAAATCTGTTCTGTATTTAGTTAACTTGCATTATTTTATATTAATTGTTTAATACTTTCGAAACCTAAAAACTTATATATGAATGTATATGTTATAAAAATACATTTAAGAATTTTAATATAATTTTTGGTTGTATTTAGTTGTTGTATTCCAATGATATTTTTTTTGCGACCATGAGTTAAATGAAAAATTTAGTGTTGCGCCTATATTACGATATTCAGTATAACAGAATATATTTAAGACATTACCTGAATTCTATTTAACATTATCGTACAACATTGAATTTTTAATTTGGCGCAATGTTTGCGAATATGTTCAACAAATGGTAAATTAAGTGAAAATTCGTTCGAAATAAATATTTTTAAAATAAATATTATTTACTATTTTTTAATGGAATAATTTAAATACAAGATATGATATACGAAGGCAGTTCACATGACAAATTTATTTATTAAAATATACTGTTCTTACACTGGGATGAAAATTTTGCAGTAAAAATTTTTAAATTATTTTTAAATCATAATTAATTTAATATAAATCAAATATGTATTAGAAACTTTTAATTTTATTGTTCCTTATAAATTTACGATCTCATTTCAAGCAATTCAATTTCATTTATGAACAATTTATTACCTTTATCAATTGATCTTTTATTAATTGGACTGCTATTATTGCTACTATTGATATTGTTATTATTATTAGTATTATTATTGTTACAATTACTGTTATAAATTTTTGGTTTTTTTCCAATATTATACATTGGAACATAACGTTTTAAACTTGAATTACTATTTGTAATTTCTGGTTCCATTTTTAATAGTGGTGACATTACACTATAACCATTTAAATTATTTTCTTCAATGGAATTACCTATAACATTATCAATAATTTTATCATCACTATTATGAATTATAATTGAAGTTGATGGTATTGGTATCATACCATTTATTGGCTTATTTGTTTTAATTTCATTAATATTACCATTTGAATGAGATTTCTCATCAAAATCATTTAAATTTGATGTTTTTGATGGTAAAATATCGATTTTTGGTTGTGTGGAAATACGTTTTCTTAAACCAGGTAATAATTCCCATTGATCACTATCAGATTCAGCCATTTGAACTGATGATAATGGCACATCTAAACATGGTGTTAATAATCTTGGGTTACTTGATATATATTCAACAATTTCAGAAGCAGATGGACGCTTTTTATAATCTAAACTCCAACATGCTTTCATTAGACCCTCCAAATGTGGCTTAACACCACGTGGAATTGTCAAAATTTGGCCTTGTTTAATTGCTTCTAAAGCTTGCTTATTTGATAAGCCTTGGTATGGAAATGATCCAAACGTTATAATTTCATATAATAATACAGCAAATGACCAAACATCAGATGCTGGTGTAAATAATCCTAAACCTAATGATTCTGGTGCCATCCATCTTACGGGTAACATTCCTTTACGATTAAATCTGTAATAATCACTTTCAAATGTTGGTCTAGCCATACCGAAGTCACCAATTTTTACAACACGTTGTGTATTTACCAAACAGTTACGACATGCAATGTCGCGATGAACATATTTTTCATCAGCTAAATATGAAAGGCCACGTGCAACATCTAATGCATACATTGATAAACGTTTCGGACTAATATCTGATTCATCTGTTATTTTTCCATCAACTAAATTACGCCTTGCTAATAGGAAATTTCTTAAATCACCATATAACATAAATTCCATTATAGTATACATTGGTTCACTCTGTAGACAAACACCAATTAATTTAATGATATTCTTGTGATCGAAACGTTTCATAGCTTCTGCTTCACACAAGAAATCTAAACGATCTTCAGTTGATGCACCAACTTTTAAAGTCTTTACAGCAACAGCTGTCCAGCCCTGATCATCCAACTGAGCTTCACCGCCGTAAACCGTACCAAATGCACCTTCACCAAGTCTTCGGTTTATAACTACTTTATCTTTTGATATTTCCCATTTGTCAAGAGTATTGTAAGTTTTGGCATTTGGTGAAAGTAAATCAATACCAAAATTTTTCATAACTTTGGCAGATTGTTTTAATTTGGCATGATATCTATATTTCCAAAATATAAATGAGCCAGTTGATAAAACACAAAGCGCTACGACTAATGATAAAATTATAACAATATAATTTACGTTTTCACATGTTGTTTGTAAAAATTCTGCCAGTGTTGCCATTGAACATTGATATGCTCCATCTTTTGGTCGTTCTCCACTTAACCAGTTTATATTACTTTCGTTTAATGCCAACTCTCCACCAATTATTTTATAAGATTTTTCATCGATTGTTGGTGTAAATGTACCGACATGATTGAATTTTCCATTAATCCACTGTAAGATATCAACATTGTCAATACGAGAGCCACCTTCATCAAAACGTATACGTCCTGATAATCCATTAAAATCAGTATCTGAAATAATTTCACTTAAGCGCTTAATAACATCAGGTGATCTTAAATCATAAATTGCTGAAGGATTTTCATGCAACAATTTATCGGCAGCTAAAGCGTATACCCAAACCGCATCATATGCAAATGCTGCATAATTTGAAAAATGGGCTTCTCCACCTCTTTTTAGATAATTTTCTTTCCATTCATGAACGGTTTTATTTTCTATCATTATGGAATCACTGGGAGCAAAAGCTGAATGTGTTAGCGAAAAGTGACCATTTACCGCCTAAATAATGAAAATTAAAAATAAAATTATGAAAAAATTATAAAAATAAAATAAAATTTTTAATTTATACCTCAGACAGCTCTTCTTTTGTGCATGTTGTATTCATGTTATCAATTGTTATAGAAGAACTATCTCCATTCCATACTTTTGATATCCAAGCAGGTAGGAACCATACGTAACCATGCCTTGCAGTCATCTATAATAAATAAAATATTTGATAGTGAAAACATTGTCTGCTTAACAGAAGCACAATAATTACTTGTAAATTGTAAGCTTCACACATAATTGATCTTGCATTATCGTTATAAATGTCCGCAATTATGATTCTAGCATTTTTATTTTTAAACTCTTGAAGAAGCTGTCATTATTAAAAAAGAAATAAAATATTTTAAATGTAATTAAAAGTTAGTATTTAATGGAAAATCAAAAATTACTCTATTCATTTCAGTTGAGGTTACATCCTTAGGAAATTTCTTATTTAGAATGAGATCAACACCTTGCTGCTTTAGCAGTGTGTCCATATGCGATATATATTCAGTATATTTTTGCCCATCTTCAGTTAAAGCAGCTATTTGCCTCCATTCGAAATGCTTAAACAAATCGAAATAAACTTGTTCATATTGTCTATTTGAACCGATTGTGCGGAAAAAATATGGATACGTGTTACGATCAGTAAATAATGCACCTTCAGCTGAATATGATATTACAGTCATTCTAGTATGTTTGGAAACACCAGCTATTGGTTCTACTGTTTCACTACATGCGGGTCCTAATACACCAATTATTGGTGTTGCTAAATTAAAATAATGTATGAAGGCTTTCATTACGGTATCAGCTTTGCATTGGCCATCATTATAACTAACAGACAGTCGAAAATTTGATAATACACTTGAATTATTGTTAATTGCTTCCGTTGCACTTCTAACAAATGGTATTAAATTACCATATAATTTACCATTTCCGGTTAAAGGAAATATTCCACCAATAAATAATGAACTTTTTTCAGATGTTTTCAACCAATTCAAATATTCATTTGGATAATTTTTTAAATAATTACATGCAACAACATTATATATTTCAGATACAGACATTTTTGGATTGTTCATTTTAGCTAAATTTGATTCAATTAAAATTTGTCGTAAATTTTCTCTTTCAATTTCAAATAATGTGAGAGCATTAAATGCTAGTTTATAATTTTGAAATTTTCTTTCATAATATTTTAATATTGGTGTCATTTCATACTTGCAAGTTGTTTCAGCAGCTGATTTAAATCTTTCACATGGTGGCAATGTTAATTGAACATAATCAATTTTATCATCAATTATAGCTGATGGTGACCATGATAGGAACAGATAACGTTTATTTTGCTTCCGAATATTTTGTGATTTATATTTATTGTGTAAATAATCCAAGGTATTTTTAAAATGCTTGTCATCAATCCATATAATTTGTAAATATAAATTGAATTCCTCTGTAAGAATAAAAAGTTAAAATTAATTGAATACAAAAAATGTTACATAAATTTGTACAACGTTTGCGTTGCTTCAAAAATTTAAATTGATTATAAAATTTTTGTTAACTAATTTTTGTTATTGAAAATTGGTATAGAAACTATGAGAGCATCATATGACTTAAAAACTAATGCACATTTTTGAAATGCGCTATAAAATATTGATATTTTAAGAGAAAATTATGTTTTAAACATTATCCGAATGGAGCTTTATTCTGACAAGTGAAATACTTGATTAAATGAAGGCAATATCGTAAAAATTTTTAAAAATATTTAAAATATTTGCAATATTTACAATGAACACACACACAATGTCATTTGTAGTAATTGGTTTGTATTTATAATAAACTTTCAACGATCAAATTAATTGGCGGACAGCGATTCTCTTTTTAAAATAAGCTCATTATTTAAAAACTTACCAACATGTTTCGATAAAAATGATGTTTCCTCATAGTCTGGTGCAAATATTGTTGCACATGTTTTATTATAATTTTGACATTCATATGATAATTCGATTTTTTGAAAACCAAATTTTCTTTCTAGTTCATCTAAAATTATTTTATCAATAACATATTTACGATAATACATGCGATCTGGATATAAAAATAAACTATAATGTAAATCTTCAACAAAAACATTCGGATCTGTTACGAAATTCGCTTCCGTATACCATCCAAAACGACCCGGATATGTAACTGTTCCAGCTTCATATACGTTATAATATGGTATTGCATGAAAATTTGGATACATCCATACTTCTAAATCAATCAAGTTTTCACCGCTGTTAAAGAAAAACAATAGTAATGTAGAATATTTATTGTATTGCTTTATTTTAATTAAACTAAATTGAAATACCTTGCAATTTCAAGAAGTTGATGAAATAATTTTGAAACTTCAGAGTCATTACTATTGACATTTGAATAAACAAGACTAACATTTTGATAGTCTAGAATTTCATGTAAAAATATTCCAAAAATTCTTGACAGCAATTGATGAGTGGCCCTTTTTGAAACTCGTATATTTATAGATTGTTTATAACCGGGATTGTACATCAGATTTGTATGTTTTTCTGAAATTAAAAAAAAAATAATTTATTTTTTTATATTAAAATAAAAAAAATTAATTTAAAAATTTGTTATTAAAATTAAAATTTAAGATTTTCTCTTTTGAGAAATTTTAAAATTAAGTAGCTACTTATATAAAATTTTGACAATAATTTATAAAATGATAGTTTTATTTTTAAATTTATTGTAAAGGGATTAGAAAAGGGTTATTAAGGTACTGGGGTATTCAAGAAAAAATAGATTGATTATTTTACTATCCAAAAATTTTAGTACTTTTTTTAATTTAGGAATATTATCGTTCTTAAAAATATTATATTTTTCACCAAGTCTAGTCCTCAAAATTGTTATAAATTGTGAACATTTTTGTGTATATACGAATGTAAACATGTATAGAAAGTTTAGATCGAAATAAGATTCGAAATTGTAATAAGAGCAATCAACCTTTCACATAAATCTTTTTTCCGTCTATAGTACTCCTGCCAATTTAAGGTTTTGTGTACATACTTCCATACTATGTTAAATTTTCTATGAACGTTGTAAAATTTGTATGTATGCCTGTATAATGTCAACCATATGCTTACATTTTAATGTTTATAAATTGTTTTAAATTATCGTCTATTTATTGATGAACCCCCGTTTTACAGCAAAATATTAAATAAGAGAAATCAGTAGAGTAATTAGTATGATTCACATAATTTTTACATTTTCTACTGCGATTCATTCAATGATTATTACAACTTTTTACATACTTAGACGTAATGGTCTCTTCAATTCAGAATTATGAATTCATTTCAATTCAAAACATTGTTTTGCTTCTATTTCTAAACAAAATTAGAATAATGTTATTAAAGTTCATCATAATTATCAGCAAAGTTCTGAGTCAAACATTGTGAGTATAGTGATAACATAAACCATAATGATATTTGAAGTTTAAGAGCGCCTTAAATCCGAATAAGTTTCTTATCTACATGTCTACTAACTTTCGTTCTTTACTTTATTTTTACTTCTGTTTTTTTTGTTGTTTCTCTTTCCTATCTAATCTATCTTATTATACTTATATGTTGTTTTTTTTTTCTTTGCAAAACTAATAACTGTAAAGCTTTGCTTAACGTTAATCTTTAATTTAATTTTATTTCTTTTGCAACAATGTTAAAATTGATTGCAAACATAAAATATTAAACTATATTGAAAGCTCAATTGTAACTGATTTTATGAGATTTTTAATCAATAAGCGCCTACCTAAATACATACTTATGTATGTACATATGTGTAACAAATTATTATATTTGCAATCAGCTAAAATTAAAGAAAAATAAATTGTTCTATAAAATTAAAAAAAATCTCAACCAAATATAGATTGTATGTGCTAATAAGCACCCACTGTACCCTATGTGAGAAGTATTTATATAAGTTGCTTAAAATTAAGATTTGCAATAAATTTTCTCAATTTATATACAAAAAAATTTACGACGGGGTGTTATAAATTTACCGTTCCCATTGCAGCCCTGAGAACTAACGGTCTGATATATAAATGTGTATAAATATTTTTGCTCATCATCGAATTAGACCGGATTTAGTCATGTCGGTTTGCCTGTTTATCCGCTCCGCCGATAATTTAAAACTAATTGAGCTTAGTTTATCAAATTTTTACAAATGATTTAAGGAAAAGTAAATGCCAAAATCCTATTTAAATTTTATGCAGCTGATACACTTGTATAAAATTTTCAAAATAATTTGATCACATCTCAGAAAGTATATATTGAAACTACAATACAGGAATTTTGTATAAAAAATGTAGCAATAGGGCCTTTATTTTCAAATAAAGTCATTCAGATTAGTCGAGTTCCTGTGGTTGCTGCCATACAACTTTAAAGAATATTTGAACATATTTGTGAAATCAAACTTAAGTTATTAGTTAAACAAATGAAAATTGGCTACAACTTCAAAAGCTCTGTCATCACAGTATTTAAAAAAATATTGAATACTAGTGTGAAGCAATTTTGCAATTATCATACAAAACTTAAAATTAATTATACATTTGTATACGGGTACCACAGAATTGACACGGTCAACTCTACCTATTTTAATTTTTATTTAATTAAAATTCAAAGAAAATGAGAGAAGAAAAATTAAAGCCGCGCTCTTACTTATAATATTTATAAAAAATTGCATTTATTTTGTAATTTTTTTTAACCATTTGTGGATTCAAGTACAATTTAAATCTGAAATATTTAAATAATTAACATTGCTTGTATAAAGAATCATTATTACTTATAGTTTAATCATAGAGAAATGAATTCTGCATAGACTGAAATTAATTCGTACCATTATTGGAGCTAATCTAATTCAATTCAATTTCAATCTTAAAGCAGTAAATTTTGAAAATTGCATGATATAAGGTAACTTTAACAAAAATATAGATGTATGGGATTTACATTTTTTGGTTAACAATCCAATATGTTAAGAAACTTTAAAAATGGAAATTGAGTACTAATAATTTCTGAATAAAAAACGTTTAAATCAGGAACGCTTTTTGTGGTTATACAGGGTTATATTTGTAATATTTTTACCAATAATAGCTATATAACTAATTTTTATTCTACATACTCGTATTACTTATTGTACTGTCGTTCAACATAAAATTTTGAACTAAAATCTATAGTTCGTATAATTTACACATGCACCGTAAGTTTACATACGTAAACTATTACTACTTACGCATGAGTTTCAAGCCGAAAATGCGGAATAATTGGAATACTTATAATGTATGTATACATACATACATATTAATATATAGGTAAATATTCATTTTATATCCGGTTAACTAGAGACTAACAAATATTTTTAATAAAATACGAAATTTATTTTACCATTAAAGTCTTAACATAACTTTGAATACGAACAACGTAACTTAATCGCTATAACATAAGTTAACTACGCGCGGCAACTTACACTTTTCATTTCATAAATTTTTTCTTAAATCTAGGTTGATTTCAAGTTTAAACGTCCTTGATTCCATTCTTTGATAAGAATTCAATTTTGTTGAAAATAAAAAATGTACTTAACTAAATTGCTTAAAAATATTTTAATAAACCGGTAGGTAACAGAAAAACTGAAAATCTCATAATTTAGAAGCTTACGAGCATGCCACCTTTGCGATTTGTAAAGTTTTTCCAATTTACAAATGAAAATATTTACCAAACAATGTCATTTAAATTTTTTTAAAATTGTGTGAATGCATAATTAAGATTAAAAGTTTGTAAGAGGAACCAATTTAGTATTTTATTTATTTAACGAGAAAAAAAATCAAAACTATACTGTTATTTAATGTGTTCGCCAATGTTATTTTGCAAATTTTTTTTCCATTCTTTTCTTGTTAATTAAAACTTACAATAATAATTTTCAATAAGTTATAATAAATGACTTTATTATGGAAAAATTTTAAACAAGATCTCAATGGAAGTCAGTAATAATATGTCATGCGATTTTATTGCGTAAATAAGAGAAACAAAAATAACTTGATATTTCCTTTTACTTCCTTTTCAATTCGACAGAGTTGAAGTATATTGTTAAACTGTTAAGAGAAAAAGAAAATATTAAATGAAAGTATACTTAAGGTATATGATTTAAGTATAATTGCTCTGATATGATTTTTTTTTGCATGAGCCGAAGAGAAAGCTTGATTTTTAATAAAAACAAAAAGTCTTTGCAACGTTGAATGCAATAGAACTCGATTATCATATAATAGACGTATTTCAATCAAAAAAGTAAAAAAATTATTCTTTCAAATTTTGAAAATTTCCAAAAATATTTTTGGAATCAACAAATGAATTAATTCTATGATGAACTGATTGTTATAGAGCTACAGATAATTCGATGATAATTGTTCTATAGATATTCTATAGATAAATCTATAGATAATTGATGTATAAAATACATAAGCGACCAAATTGTTAAAGTTTTTCATAAATAATGAAAATCTATTTTAAGCATTTATTTCAAATTCTATTTAGCCCTTTTTTAATACATTTAAAAAAAGGTAAATTTAGTTCTTAGTAGAGATTAAATTTCTCAGTTAATTTAGTTAACAATCAGAACTTAAATATGAAATTGCAAGTAAATTGCTTGATTATTTCTCTGTATATGAGCAAAAACATAACTTTGACCCATATACTAAAAATTCACTTGTTGACTTCTGATTTCCTGATTATTGTCGATCAGTCGGACCTCAGTAATAGTTCCAGAAGCCTGGTTTATTGAAATTTTCAAGTACTTATCAAAAGGTGTAGTTATAGTTCGATATGTAAGTTCTTCTGTTACTATATTAATTTGTATGTATATTAAGTTTTATTGAAATAACAAAATTAAACATTAATGTTTTGCTTTCTCAAATTATTACAAAAATTTTATATGATAGTTTGTTCTTAAAATCTCTGCCTTCTATACCTATAAAGTAATAGTGTAGTATAGTTTCCGAATATGATATTACCATATTACAATACGTATGTAATTTTTAAATAAATTCGACTTTTGCTAGGAAAAAAAATAAAAATTAAAATTTTTCTAATATTTCCGCCTGCCTTCTTTTTTTTTTAAATATTTAGTGAAAGTTATCACATTCCATCAATTTGATTTTAATGAATTCTTAATTTAGAATTTTATTACACATATTTTAGTATTAATAGAAATAAACAAAAATAATTCGGTTTTTTATTTTCAGTATTTTTAGAACTTTTTCAAAAAAAAAAAATTAAAAAAAAAAAGTGTTTATTGTTTTACTTTGTCCATCCGTTGGTGTGTCTGTTCCACACCCTTCAAAATAAAAAGCTGAAATTCTATACACGCACGTAGATGTTTTTTGGAAACTTATTTCTGTAGAAAAAAATTCTAATTATCTTCTGCTCTCTAGAAGTAATTGCCACTGAAATTGCTAAAAATTCCATTTTTTGACTATTTATTGTTATAAATAGTCAAAAAACTTTTACACTTTTTAAATTACGCAAAC